TCTGCGGGCTTTAGAATTTTTTTAAAAAATGATGTAAATAGCAAAGGTTTAAAGAAAATATTTCCTATTACAAGTGAACAAGCTAGGCAGATTATAAAGAGATGCAATACTTGCTCTTTCTATATCCAAACACCACTATATTCATCTCTTGATACATCTTCATTTGGTTTGTGAGTTCTCTGACTGCCCTTGATCTTCCCAGAGTCACCAGGTTGCTTTTCTTTCCTATACTTTTTTGCTAACAATGACAGCAACACATTGTCAGGTGTATAGGAGTATTGCACAGTACCTATTTGCAAAAAAAAAAAAAAACCCTTTCTTAAATATTCATTGGCTCAAGAAAAAACCTCCAAATTGTATACACAGTAATCTGGTCTGTCTTCATTCACATGACATGAATTAATACATGCTGGGAAATAACAGAATCACTCCCTACTATGAGCCACAGAATTATGCAGTAATTATACAGTTATCATTTCATGAGATCAATGATGCTGATGGGATGGAATTAATCAAGACATAAGGCATATTGGCATAATTGCCTTGTAAATGAACTGAATGATTCCTGACTACACAATTCTCCCATAGCTTACTCTCATCTGTTACCTATTGGGATATATCTCCCACAGCTCAGCACTATTTGATCACTTTTGGGCACAATTTCCCCTATTATGTGCAAAAACAGGGACACTGTCAAAAAAAAAAAAAAAAACCTCTGCTTTCCACTACCATATCTTTATCTTTTTTTCCAATGTAAAGATAGAACTCTAACTGCTTGTGATTATCTTTATTGGCAGTCATTTGGCCAGCATTAAGTTTCCAGGCAAAAGCCATTCATAGATATTCAATAGCATAGAAATACTACATTCATAAGACTGTTGATTGATAGTCACTCAAATAGATAGAAAATAAGAATACTCTGGTTTTACCTTATTTACAAATAAGAGAGGAAATTGGCCTAAAGTAACCTTGCTATGAAAAATTCCTAAATCTTCATACTCAACTTTACCTCAATTTATAATGACTTTAGTTCATGAGATTTACTACATATGTTTTATTCTCCCAGATAGCAGGAAAAATAATTAAGTATCTGCCCACAGCCCAGAGAAGACAATCCATCTTTTTCTGGGGCTTCCAGACATACACTACCAATGACCAGAGTGGCAGAGAGGCATCAAAAACCAGATCTGATAATTTCGAGCTTCAGTACCTTTTATCAAGATTTATTTTGGGGGTAAAACCCACTAAACCATTCAGCATTCAGCAAGATTTGATATAGCAGTGGAAAATCTGACTAATAGGATCTGAGCACAAAAAATAAATTAACTCACATACATCCTTTATCACATCCTGTTTGTTCTTTCTATGGCCTCTCTATTACCCATGCTGTTCATAGTTCTTTGGTTGCTTTTCCCAGCCATGAGGTTTGCAGCCTATATAGCCCACACAGATATTTACAGTCATCTCTACATGCACTACAGAATCATAACAAAACAGGAAGGAAGGACCTGACAAAGCAGCACTGTAGGAAAAGTGACACCACACAAAAGGACCAGTAACCAAGGGGAAACACCTGACATTTCAAAGTATTAGATAGGATCAGTAGACATCCATAAAACCTGGACTCTCCCACTCCCCTCACCCCAATCTCTATTGTGAGCATCAGCTTATGATACCCAGACCTGTTTGCCAGCAAGGGTGGACATGCTGTCTTACTATCTTTTTGGAATTCCTACATGGTCTACTAGTAAAGGAAATTTTGGGATATTAATTTAATGTAGACTTGACTATTAAACACAGAATGATGGTTACTGCTCAAAGGCCCTATGGCATGTGTGAATGAGAGAAGGTAATTTGGTACCCATATATTGCTTGGGTACTTTTTTGTGAATAACTTTTTTTTTTTTTTTGGTTTTTTGAGACAGGGTTTCTCTGTGGTTTTGGAGCCTGTCCTGGAAGTAGCTCTTGTAGACCAGGCTGGTCTCGAACTCACAGAGATCTGCCTGCCTCTGCCTCCCGAGTGCTGGGATTAAAGGCGTGCGCCACCACCGCCCGGCTTGTGAATAACTTTTTGAAGGGGAGAAATGCCATGATTTATATTGGACCTATATCAAGAGAGTGACCCATGATGATTATGAGTTCAGATGTATTCATAACTAATTAGTGACATAGAAGCTGGACTGGATAGCAAATGACATCTCAAGGGAATTTCTGAAAAGATGAAAAACAAATCCAGGAAAAAATTTCACAACCCTTTTACAGACACTATTACTTAAAAGCATGAATATACACTGCCTAATATTAAAATAAATAATGTTTCACTCAGATAATGGACATCTCATTTTCTATATTTCAACAGAAAAATACTTATCACTAAGTGAAATCACAGAAGAACATATACGAAGGTCACAGAAAGAATACAATGAGCACAAAATAAACTTCATTGAAAGGATTTGCTAAATGTATAGATCACTTTAATATCTCTCACTAACCAGAAACCGCAATGGACAAATGTCCACCATGACACTTGGGTGAAGATAGTGAATGATTAACCTTCTTCATGATGAAAAAGATATATAACAAGAATTTCTGGACAATGAAGACCACTGTGATGTCTAAAGTCTTTACCATATTATTCACATGAAGGTTTTCTCTTTCATGAGTTCTTCCCTATTATCTGATGTTATGATGATAAAAAATAATGTCTTTAACATATATACAGGGCAAAGACCTGGACAAGCAGTTAGGAGCAGTTCATTGTCAGGATGAAAGTCAGGTTTTTGAGAACTTCCTGTGGTCCTGCAACAGGAGCACCCAAGAGTCTAAGCATGAATATTCACATACCTACACAAATACATAAAATAACATAATTAAAATTAAATAAAATCTTTGGCTAAACAATTTTTCTTTCAAGACTGTTTTTCTCCTGTAGCATTCATTCCTGTAACCTAGGTGTTGAGGCATTTAAGAGCTTACTTCCAGAGGTTTTCTCAATTATGATTTGGATCATGCAATAGAAAGCAAGAATGTAGACTTGAAGTTATGGTTATTAATCATTCTCAAGTAATGGCATCATTTGGGAAAGTTTAGAAAATATTGTCATCCTGGAAGAAATATGTCACGGGTTTGTTCCTGAGAGTATACGTTCACACACCATTTCAAGTTACGACACCTGGTTCATGCTGCAGGCTGAGGATGTGAGCTCTAAGCTTCTGAATGTAGCCGTCATGTCTGACACTTCTTGTGACAACTTTCAAAGTGATCATATAATGGTTTGGAACTCAGAGTCACAATAAACTATTATATTAATTGACTTAGACATTATGTTTTATCACAGACACAGAAGAGGCACTCATACACATGTATAAAATTTTACATCTGGATAAGGGATACGGGAAGCTTGGTTAATAAATCATATTTAAGAAGTGGAACATAGTTGAGACGTGGTCTCCTGGAACCCAGAAGAAAAACTGAGATGGTCCAGGTGCTTGAGCTCTGGGTGATTTCCACGGGACACAGAAGAACTTGGACTTCCCTTCTTGTGGCATGAGTTTCCCCTTATAATATGTAAAAATATCTTAAATAAAATGCATAGGACTTCTGTACATATAATTTTGCATGTGCAAAAAAAAATAGAGACTTTATAATGGTTGAACAGACTTGACACTTGGAGACGTGTTTTTTCCCAGTCTTATGTAAGTAAATGAATGTTGCCAGAAGATATTTCCAAAATATTTATAGTCACATTCCCTTCAGTATGAATCTTCTCAGGTCATCAGAGTACTGTGATTTGCAGAGGCCTTAATAGACTCCTTATTTACTTAAAGTTTACTCTCATATAAAGACTACCAAGAAGAGGAAAACTTTACCACACTGATTGCACCTAAAGTGTTTGTCAGGCGGGACTGTGGTGTCACACCCCTTTAATCCAGCACTTGGGAGACAGAGACTGACACATCTCTGTGTGTTAAAGGCCAGCCTTGTCTATGAGTGAGTTCCAGAAGAGACTCCAATGCTATAGAGAAACCCTGTCTCGATAAACAAAAAGAAAAAAAGAAAAAAAAGAGTTTCTTTGCAGTATGATTTCATTCTCAGGATTTTAAAGGCTGATGACACATACAAAGGCTCTAACACATTGGCTAAAACTGTAGGGTTTCTATACAGCATGTGTTCTTGGGTGGATGCGTACACTTCTACAACATGCAAAGGCTTTACTACATTGATTACATTCATAAGGTTTCTCTCCAGTATGTTTTCTTTTATGTATTTGGAGATTACTGTTCCGTGAAAAGGCTTTATCACATTGATTACACTGATAAGGTTTCTCTCCAGTATGTGTCCTTTGATGTACTCGAAGATTACTCTTCCGTGAAAATGCTTTACCACATTCATTACACTGATAAGGTTTCTCTCCAATATGTCTTCTTTTGTGACGTTGGATATTACATTGACGTGCAAAGACTTTACCGCATTCATTACATTCATAGGATTTCTCTTTAGTATGTGTTCTTTCATGTATTTGGAGTTGACAGTGTTTTGAAAAAGCTTTATCACATTGAATACATTGATAAGGTTTCTCTCCAGTATGTGTCCTTTGATGTACTAGAAGACTACTGTTCCATGAAAAGGCTTTACCACATAGATTACACTGATAAGGTATCTCTCCAGTATGTGTCCTTTGATGTACTCGAAGACTACTGTTTTGTGAAAAGGCTTTACCACATTGATTACATGTGTAGGGTTTCTCTCCAGTATGTGTTCTTTGATGTAGTTGGAGATTATATTTACGTAGAAATACTTTACCACATTCATTACATTCGTAGTGTTTCTCTTTAGTATGTGTTCTCTCATGTATTTGGAGTTCAGAGCATTTTGAAAAAGTTTTATCACATTGATTACATTCATCAGTTTTCTCTCCAGAATGTTGTCTTCTGTGAACTTGGAGACTTCTGACATATGAAAAGTCTTTACTGCATTGATTACTTTCATAGAGATTCTCTTCAGCATGTGTACTCTGAAGTAATTGGAGAGAACTGGTACCTGCAAAGGCTTCATCATATTGAATACCATCATAGGGCTTCTCTGCAGCATAAAATTTTTCAAGCCTTTGAAGGTGACTATGATACGCAAAGACTTTATCACATTGAGGATATTCAGAGGGCTTATGTCCATTATGGTTTCTCTCATCCCTGCAAAGATAATTGGCACATGTAAAAGTTTTACCATGTTTATTACATTGATGAATCTTAATATCTATATGAATTTTTATAATTTTGTTTAGTGTAAAGAGGAATAAGATTTTCAGTTTTATATTCATGGTGCTCTCTTTCAGTATGGGATGTTCTCTGTCTCTGAACAACCTTTGATAGTATGGGGCTATTTTTAAATGACCCACATTTATAGCAACATTTGATATGAATTTTTTTATGTATTTGAAAGGAACTAGACTAATTCAGTTTTAAATGACCTTACATTTGGATTCTTACGTTTTCCTGTAGTACAATACCCACCACAAGAAAGTATACTAGAAAAAACAAAAGTAAGAACACAGTCCAACACACATAGGGCTTATCTTCAGTGTGAGTTTGCTAATTTATTTCCCAAGGAATTTTGAAAACCAATTAAATATAATAATATAGCACATTCAAGTAACCCACCCAGTGTTGAAATACTAAATATCTTTCCTATCTTCTCTTTATTCTGAAAGAGATACAGTCCCTCTTTCCATTTTGGGAAGCTCACTTTTGATATATGACATTCTTATTAAAGGAAGAAGAATTGTCCATTGAATTCACACAGTTTGACTTTTTGTAATTGGCAGACATGTGGTGTAGGAATTAATGTTTCTCCACAAGAGCCTTTTTGACTCTCATGACCCAACTCTTTCAAGAAGTTTGGCAAAGTCACAAGTACATGAGTAACATGCGCTTTACTACAGAGTATTTTTGGCACAGTTTTAAACATATCCTTATTATCTATTCAATGTGTCTATGTGTTATCTGAGTGGTATGAAACTAAATGGATTAGCAGCTCTACAGTATAATTCTCACGGTAGCATCAGTTAAGACACTGTTTCCTTCTCTTCTGTTTAGAGGAATGCACACACCATTTACCTCATATTGAGGCATGTGATTTTATGAGAAATTAATAATCAACCATATACCTTATGGCGTGCTTATTTATACTATTTTTTCTTTAACTCTTCCAGGACAAATTAAAATTTCTTCAGAGACAAATATACACCAAGTTGCAAATAAAAATTACCTTCCATGTTTTCTAGCACTTAGACAATACTCTTCAAAATTATGGCCTTCCCAACTGTAGCCTAAAATATAGGAACAGACAGTAGACAATATATTAAAGGATATTGTACAAAATTGAATACCTTAAGTGAACTATACCCTTGTTATTTGGCTCATTTTTACTCTTTCTCAAACACAAATATACAAAAGTATCAATAAATAATACACAGTTGTCCTTTTATTTTAAAATGTGAAGGAAAGTTCACAATCTTACCAAGAGCGGTGAGGTTCCTGTATGTCTCCAGCATCACATCTATGTAGAGACTCTTCTGGAAAGGATTCAGCAAAATCCACTCATCCTCAGTGAAGTCAATGTGAACATCCTCATAGGTCACTGAATTCTAGAAGAATCCAATCAACAATAAAACAAAGTGTGATCCTGACATTGGATACTTCTTTTACAATGATATATTTGTATATTGGTGCTGCTTCCCACACTTCTTCAATGCCACTGCTTTATAATATAAACAAAAATTACTGTAGAAGGAAACTGAAGAAGAGGCTCATATGTACCATTCGTTGACCCTTTAAAAAGGATACAGCCTTGAGAAAGAAATGCCAATAAACAAACATACAGAGACAAACAGCAAGCAGATCAACACTACTGAGAAAACATTACAGAAATAATAATACCAATGATTATCTAGAAAAAGGATGGCAAAATTGGGTATATTCACTTGTGACTTTAATCCCAGTGATCAATGTAAAAGCAGATGAAATAAATTGAGTTGGATGTCGGTCAAAGCCTATGCAATGACTTGCAGGTAAGCCAGAGTTACAAATTAATAAAACCCAGTATCCATCCATAATCATTTAAATAAAAAACGTGAAAAGAAATCAGAGGTTTAAATGAAGTTCTTACAAAAAGTTTTGTATTTATTTTAGTTCTACATTCATCTTCCAGAACTTGCAGTGGCCCAGGTTAAACTGTTTCATAATAAGATCTTAAAAGGGAGTGCATGTTTAACACTTACAATTGGACCAAAGAAAACATCAGCCCTGCAAATGACGATCATAAACAACACAGAGTAAGGGAGATGGGTCAGCAATTAAGCGGTCTTGCTGTCCTTGCAGATAAATGGACACAATTACCAGTACTAATAGGGACTTGTAATTATCCATTACTTCAACTTCATAGGTTCTGACGCCTCTTGTGACAACCACGAGAAACAGGCATGCCTGTGGTACACACCCTTGTATATATATACAAACACATATTCATTGAGAGCATTCAAAACAAAAAAAAAAATAGAGGGAAGTAGAAAGTCACAACCCTGCAGTGCGAGGATTCAGATGGCAGAGGTACTGATGTCATGGATACTACTCTCCTGGGAATGGGAATGATAATCTCCACCAAACTTCAAATTTCAAGAAGTTCAGCATTGAAACTTATTCTTGAAATGTACAAACACTTATATTCCAGGCTCATCAGACAGTAAAAGAATACAGAAAAATAACAAGCATGTTGCTCCGCCATTAATCCCTCTGTGCAGTAGCCAGAATCATTTGTATTTGAGTTGAGAACACCATGGTCTAAGGAGTTACATTGAGGACCAAGAGCTACACAGAAAAAACATTGTCTTTCAAAAACAAAAGTAAAAGCAAAAAAATAAAGTAGAAATCAGGATAGCAAAAGGCTTAAGAGTGAACAGAAATTGCTTCAACTGCATGTTTTGTCATTGAGTGACACCATCTATAATGGCGGTGAAGTCATAACAGCAGGACACACATAACCAGAAATGGCTTCAGGCTATGAACATGTAAATCCAATCCCCAATATAGGAATTTCATCCAAAAGATTTCTCCTACTCAATGTTCTACAAATACAAAAAAGAAGAGCACCCCGGAGAGACAAGTGTTCAACATCTTCTAATCTGGGACCTTTTCCGTCGATCAACTACATTCTGACCCTGATGCATAAATATTCATAGTCATCCCATGATTAACACGTATTTACTCTAACTTCAATGACTGTCATAGGCTGGAACAGTTCCTGAAGTGCTTCAATGTGAAGTCTCTTATAACAATCAAGATATTGACTTGACTTGGCAATAACCCAGCCCAATAAAGCCACACCTAATAGTGCCACTCACTCCCTAGGAGATCATTGGGTCTCACTACATTCAAACTACCAGAGTGGTTTTTCTGAGTCTTAAGATAGATAGATTCCGAATTATCTGAGGTACTGCCATATTGGTTACCATAGTGGCTATACAGGTTTATATTCTCAGCAACAATGGGGGAGAGTTTCTTTTTGTCCATATTTTTGCCAGTATGATATGTCACTTGTTTTATTGATCCTAGCCAATCAACTTTCTACTTATTCAACATCCTTGCCAGCATGAGTTTTCCATTATGTTATTGAACCTAGCTATTCTGACAGGTATAAGGTGAATTCTAAAAGCTCTTATAGTACAATTGATTGATGGCTAAGTATATTGAACATTTAGTTAAGTGTTTAGATTCATCTATTTAGAACTCCTTGTTTAAATCTATAGCATATTTTTATTCAATTAATTTATTTCTAGATGTGTTGCTTGAGGTCTTTTGCTTCTGAACAAGTACATCCAAACTACACAGACAAACATGATGTGTACTCATTGTAAGTAGATATTAGCTGTTCAATCAAGACTAATTACTGTACAATGAACAGACCCAGATAGGGTAAGTGACAAAGATGGCTGTAGCAGGGGGTGCATGGATCCCAAAGATCTATTAAATAGACTAGATTTTGTGGGAGTAAGCAGAGCAGGAACAGGAAAAATCATAAGAGTAAATGGAGGTATGTAGGGGGAAAACACAGCAAGAAATTAATAGAATAAGAAAGCTTTCAAGGGTTGATGATCAAACAGTGCAGTAACATCTTTCTGCAATATTTGAGGGTCATTATAGTGAGGACTCCCTATAACAGAGAAATATGGAGCCTGTACTGGCCATCTTCTGTAATCACATATGGTTCCCAGTAGTGGGACTATAAAACCAAGCCATCCACAAAATATTTGACACACACTTGTGGTGTATGGAAGATATATCAGGAAAATTGTGGCTCAAGATTTGTGTAGTGGCTAACCAATGACTGGCCCAAATTGAGGCCCAACATGGCTAGGAAGAGCGCCTAGATGGGCAGGATCCAGAAGTTATATGGCTCAAAGAACTAGGGTAGAAACAAATTCAAGTAACAATAAAGAAAAAAGTCAATGTAATGATAACTAATTCCATGTCCAATAGCTCTCCAAGTTTCCAATCCTGTTCAGCTTTGTTGAGAATATCACACTTCTTTTGCTTTGGCTGGTTCCATTGCACATTAGTAGCTCTCCTTGGAAGGTAACCTATGACCCTGAGATCTCCAACATCTTGGATAATTAAAGAATTCCAACTTTCCAATATTAAGGCCCACTCAAGATCGTCAGGACCCTTCCATAGGCTTTGGGTCAATACACTGACTCTGCCCTCTGCAGTACATACACCTGGTCTTCCAGACTCTGGCTGGCTCAATTCCACTGCTACTGCTGTTTCGGTGGTCATCTCACAGTGCTGGCCTCTCCAGACACTGGAGTCTTCTGTTGTAAATGGGTTTCACCTTCACCAGTGTTTCTCATAGAATCTCCTCAGGGTGCTGCAACTCTTCACCTGACCCTTACAGTCCTGGGCATTCAACTGCCAACGAGACTGCACCTTCAGTGATGTCCTTTTCTGACCTCTCACAGTGCCAAGCCTTACATCCATCAATACCTTCAAAATATTACCACCCGGTGAAACACATTAGAAACTCCACCTACCTGTTGAGGTACAACTGTGGCTACCCCTGGAAGACAGTTGCTCTGTGCTCTTAGAAAACACTTCCCAGACATTTTTACATCAGTGATGCTGGTCTCGTAATCATCACTAAATTTTTAGCTCTAGCTGTCCAGCATTAAGTATCCAGCAGAACCATATTTTGGTTAAATACTTCTGATAACTTGCTCATCACAGCTGATTCTGCAGCCCCAGCTAACAAGAAACAGAGAATATAATTCCTTTCTTTTATCCTTAAGTCTTAAGCCAGAACCATGTGGCCCCAGCTGTCAGGTTCTGCTGCTTACTGGGGTTGGAACATGACACCTTGTTTAATTCTATCTTTACCAGCTTTCTGCTTTTGGCTGTATAAGCTTGGATGTCCTGAAACTTGATCTGTGAACTAAGCTGTCCTTGAACTAACAGAGGTGTGGCGGCCTCTGTGTTCAGAGTACTAGGATTAAAGTCAATGTGCCACCACCCCCTCAGGCCACGAATCCCTTTTATTAACCATCTTCAGTAGAGTTATCACTAACATCCACTTGACAAAGTCTATCTCATGCTGTGTTGAGGATTCTTCTTCACAGAGAATTAATCAAAATCTCCTTACTTTAGCCTCAGGCAGATTTTTTTTTTTAACCAAGGCACTTCTTTCACCAAAATATCACAAGAATCATTTGTAAGAAACATATTAAAATTCTTCTCTGAAACCTCTTGAGCTGGCTCTTGATATTTCATTTTGTTATCAAGGTCACTCTCTCCCATGCTCCTCCTAGTATGACCCTGTATGCAGTGACAAATGCATTCTTTCCTTTTTGTAAGCCAAAGAATCAAAGACCTTATGATTCGAAACAAGAGCATGGTTAGGACTATCACAGCAATACTCTAGTCCCTGGGCCCAACTTCTGTTTTAGTTTTTTTTTTTTTTTTTTTTTTTTTTTTGTAAAGAGACACCATGACCAGAGAAACTCTTATAACAAAAGTATTTAATTGAGGAGGCTCACATAGAATTTCAGAGATTGAGTTAATTATCATCATGGCTTGAAGCCTGTAAGCTGGCAGCCAGATGTGATACTGGAACTGAGAGTACTTTGTTCTTGACTAAGAGGAAACAGGACATAGTCTGACACACTGGGAAGTATCCTGAGGATAAGAGAACTCAAAAACCCACAGTAGCATACTTCCTCTAACAAGACCATGCCAACTACAGAATGGCCACACCTCCCATTACTTCCACTCCATAAGAGATTATGGTGCCAAATATATCCAACCTACCTCAGTGGTATAGCTGAGTCTTGAGGTAGATAGATTACTAATTATCTGAGGAATTGCCATATTGATTTCCATACTGGCTATACAGGTTTACAATCTCAGCAACAATGGGGGAGTGTTCCTTTTTGTCTGTATTTTTGCCAGTATGATATGTCACTTGTGTTATTGCTCCTAGTCAATCTGACAGGTATAAGATTAATCATTAAAGTACTTTTGATTTAAGTTTCCTTGATAGCTAAGGTTGTTGAACATTTATTTAACTGTTTTTCAGCCAGTTTCAAAATCATCGATTTAGAATTCTTTATTTTCGTCTGTACCATATTTTTATTTGATTATTTGATTTTAACATCTAGTTTCCTCAGTTTTTTGTATTCTGAGCAAGTAAAAGCAGAACCACATAGACAAACATGATATGTCCTCATATATATGTATGTGGATAATAGCAGTTGAGTAAAAATAATCTCAGTACAATACATAGACTCAGAAAGGGTAAATTACAAGAATGGCTGTAGCAGGGGATGCATGGAGCCCACATGAAGGAAGAAAATAGACTAGATTTTATGAATGAACAGAAAATAGCAAGAGTAACAATCATGGGATAATAGAGGGATGGAGGGAAAATATACAGGGAGAGATGACTGGAATAGGAAAAATATTAAAGTTGATGTGGAAACCTAATATAGTAGAAACTTTTTGCTAGCTAAGAGGGCAACCGTAGTAAGGATATCCAGTAACTAAGAATATGGAGCCTGAACCTGTCATCTTCTCCAATGACATATAGCTCCCTGTGCTGAAAATAGAAAAGAAAGCCAACCACAAAATGTCTGACACACAGTGTGTTGTCCCGAAGATATATCAGGAAATTTGTGACTAACTTGAGGCCTAAGTGAAAAGAGCCAACCCAAGACCAACACTGACTGGATGTCAAGGAATGAGAAGTTCAATGGTTCAGAATTTAGAGTAGAACAAAATACAAGTAACAAAAAGAAAATGATAATAAATATAATGATTCTTAGCTTTAATCTAATAAAATCATAGATTGTTTCCTAGCCTAACTGTCAACAGATGGCCTTCCTCTGAAAATTGATTGTGGCAGATGCAAAGAACATTACTAAACACTAGCTAAAGCATGTGGAAGCAAGCAGAAATTTGGGTGAGGGTTTTTTTAGAAGCCAGACATGTAAAGCACATGCAAAAGACCACAATTTACAGAATCAAATAAGCAGGGATTATAAGGGCCTAGAGAGCCTGAGAGAGCAATTATGGAGCATGCAGTGTCTGAGTTCTATCCTCTCAATAGAGGTTGCTTTGCTTGGTGTTTTTCTGGGACTGCTAACTGTAAGAGTGGTTCAGACTCTTTTGCTTGCTCTTGGGACTATTTTCCTTCTACTGGGGTGTGTAATCATGCATGGATATGAAGGTTTGTGTCTAGTCTTATTGTATCTAATCATGATGTTTGTTGACATTTCTAAGAGGCCTCCTCTTTCTGAAGGGAATCAGAGGAACAGTGGATCTGGGTCAGTGGGAATGTTGGGCACTAGCGAGTTTAGACAGGGTTGAGGCTGTAGTCAGATTGTACTGTATAAGAGAAGAATAAAGAGAATAAACAAAAAGAAATAAAAGTGCTTTGAATCTAACTTCATAATCTTCACAATCTTTAACATCCAAGATATTCTTCAAATATCCAAAGTCTCTTCTGATACTCTAGATAAAATATTGTCTTGTGACATCTTTTAAAATCAATAAACAAAGTAAACTTTTCAGACATAAAACGACACAGGATATATTCCATTTAGAAAGAGAGGAATATGTCTGTCTGTGTTCCAGTCCTGAATTCAGGCAGAAATCCCATATTCACATACAGACCACGTCAGGCAAAGAACAGGTAGGCCACCAGTTCATAAAACTTCTTCATTCCTTTTGTTTCCACAGTCACAATCCGCAAACAACTCTCCAGCGATCACCCCTGAGACATATCCCTAGCCCCCAAGAGCAGGCCAGGCCAGCAAGAAGAACAGGTAGTTGAACTCAGGCAAAACTCCTGATAAAGGGGCTGGAGAGATGGCTCAGAGGTTAAGAGCACTGCCTGCTCTTCCAAAGGTCCTGAGTTCAATTTCCAGCAACCACATGGTGGCTCACAACCATCTGTATGGGGTCTGGTGCCCTCTTCTGGCCTGCAGGCATACACACAGACAGAATATTGTGTTCATAATAAATAAATAAATATTAAAAAAAAAACTCCTGATAAAGCAGAGTCCACAACAATCATTTGAAATCCAGGCAGCCTGTCCACCCATGGATCTCCTCCACTCTTTGAATACCTCCCCCCCAAACATTATTGCCATCCTACCTGCCTTCTGGTCACTGTGTCCTAGACCCCAAAGAGGTGGAGATGTTCTCTTTCAACAAGACACACCAGCTGTGAGAAGTCCATGCAGGCCTCTTGTGCACTGACATGTCTACTCCCAAAGTTCCTAGCAAGATGGAATCTTAACCTTAAAGCACCTTTCTAGGCTTTCTCTCTAGAGCAAGGGATTTTCTTTAATGACAATCTACTTGAAAGTTTCTGCCAACTAATAGTACCCAGAGCTTTTTTCATTACCCAAAAGACTTTTTCATTTCTATCTATCCCACTTGTTTAATTTTCTTTTGTAGACCCAAATCAGTCATTTATAAAAACTACCCAAATGAATCAATACTTTTAAGAAATCAGCCTCTGGCCCTTCTGCCTCCATTTCTTCTTCTGGGCAATGGGGCTGAATCCCGAGGGCAACTGAGCAGGCAGGAGCTCCTTTGTTTCAATAGCCTGCCTGCAGCAAGCAAGGGAGCTGCTTTGTTTTCGAGCTACCCAACCAGCACGGAGATCTGATCTCAGCACCAAGAGAGATATCACTGGAGTACCAGGAGAGCCGTCACTGTGGAGTACCATCACTGGGAAGGTACATCAGTAGGCAAGGAGACCTGATCCTGTAAAAGAAGATCCATAGGGGAGCATTTGGAGGAAGAGATGGGCAGGCGCCAATGCAAGAATTCACCCAATAATCGGAAAAACAACATGAAACCACCAGAACACAGCGACCTCACAACAGGAAGACATGATCACCTTAATCAGAAGAAGTAGAAAAAATTGACTTTATGAAAGTGATTGACGCCCTTAAACAGCATGTAAAAAAGGCTCTTATAGAAATGGATGAGAAGTATAACAGAAAGTTTGAAGAATTGAATAAATCAGTGAATGATACCCTAGGAAACCAAGGAAAAACAATCAAACAGATAATGGAAACAGTTCAAGACTTGAAAACTGAAATGGAGGCAAAGAAGAAAACATAAACAGAGGGCCAGCTGGACATGGAAAATATAAGTAAATGAATAGAGACTACAGAAACAAGCATAACCAGCAGAATACAAGAGGTAGAAGAAAGAATCTCAGATTCTGAAGATACCATAGAGAAAATAAATGCACTGATCAAAGAAAACAGCATGTCCAACAAACTCTCATCACAAAACATTCAGGAAATCTGGGACACAATAAAAAGACCAAACCGAAGAATAATAAGAGTAGAAGAAGGAGAAGAAGTGCAGCTCAAAGGTCCAGAAAATATATTTAATAAAATTATAGAAGAAAACTTTCCCAACGTAAAGAAAGATGCACCTATGAAGGTTCAAGAAGCATATAGAACACTGAATAGGCTGGATCAAAAAAAAATCCCCTCGCCATATAATAATCAAAACACAAAGCATACAGAATAAAGAAAGAAAATTAAGAGCTGCAAAGGAAAAAGGTCAAGTTACTTATAAAGGCAAA